GCCGCAATCCCTTCTCCTCCATTCTCCTCTCAGGATCTTGGGCACGCGCGCACAAACGGCCGGCGTGAGTTTTAAGCCACCGGGTCCGGGATGCGAACAGCCGTTGACTACATGGGAGTCCAGCGACATAGCCATTACGCTAACTGCTGGTTCCCAACACTGAAATTTTTTGAGAATATAGACCATTTATTTTATAGAATTTGATTCAATTCAGGTTTTTCTTATGTTTCCTCATAATCGGTTGCAGGATTCACATTTTTGGTGGGAATATAATGTAGGTAACATTAACTTCTTACCGTATCACTCTGGAGGCATATGATGCTCTTTACAGAGTATTAATTGTGATCACTTGGTTAAGATGCTGTCTGTTTTTCCACTGTAAGCCTAATATTATCTCTTTTTAAAACTAAGTGACTTGGAGACATAGATTGTTCATATTTTTGAGATAGCATAAATAACAACATGTCCAAAAATGTTTACTTCAGATGTACTTTTGATCATGCTTGTAGGGAAGAACAGCTTTGCACTGGTCCTGCAACAATGGATACCTTGATGCCATTAAATTACTGCTAGACTTTGCTGCTTTTCCTAATCAGATGGAAAACAATGAAGAGAGGTAAGCTACTGATTAAAAAAAAGAAAGAAAGAAAAAAAAAGTATACTATTGTTCATTTCATGTACTTACTGCCAGATTAAAAAAATCTCAAATTTAGGGACCAGCAGATGGCATAAAGGCTATGTCACTGGACTCCCAAGTGTGGTCGACTGCAGTTTGAGTCCTGGACCCAGTGGCTTAAACTCATACCAGGAACCCGTGTGTGCGTGCCCAAGATCCCGAGAGGAGAATGGAGGAAAAGGGATTGCTGCACAGCCATACCCCCTGGGAGGGGGTGATTTCTTGCTTTCTGTCTCTCTGTCTCTGTCTTTCTAGCGAGCGCACTTGCCCTATAGCAAAAACCTCTCAAAAAAAAAGAAAAAAAGTCTCTAGTTTAGATACTGGTTCAGAAATAAGTGTACTCAGAAGGAAATACTACACCAAGAAATCCTGAACCAGAAGAATACATTTTCATGGATGTTGGTTTAGAGTCATGGGATTGTATAGCTATTCAGGACTTCAGCTGTTATCTAGGGCAAGCTCACATTTTGCAAATGAGGAAATTTCAGCCTTCCTCTGAGTTGTGTTTAGCATAAGGACAGTGAAACTCTGAGTAACAAGGATAAGGAATTCAGTAAGGCCAGCAAAATGTGTTAAATATTCAAGAGACTTTTCTTTGTTGTTTTTGTTTTTGTTTTGCTGTGAGGCACATGCACTCTCCAGGGAGAGACAAAGAGAGAGGGGGAAAGTGAGAAAGCAAGCTGCTAGTTTTGGAACTTGAACCATAGTTGGCCATGTGGAAATTCAATGTCTTAACTACCATGCCACCAGCTGGCCCCAAATACAGATTTCTTAAGTAATATAAGGTCCACAGAATTATGTCCAAGAATCTAGCTTAAATTTTTTAAATCAAGTGCAGGGGGGCTGGCAGGTGCTGTGGTGGTTAAGACATTGAACTCCCACATGGCCAATTGCAGTTCGAGTCCTGGCCCTTTTTACTTTCCCTCCCTCTTTCTTTCCTCTCTATCTCTCTTTCTCTTTGGTCGAATTAAAAAATAATGGGACCAGCAGATGGCATAATGATTATGTTGCTGGACTCCCATGTAGTCAGTGGCTCGAGTTCTGGACCTAGTGGCTTCAAACTGATGCTGGGCGTGTATGCGTGCATGCCCAAAATCCCAAGAGGACACTTGAGGGGAAGGGATTGTGGCATGGCCATACACCCTAGGGGGTGATTTCTCACTTTCTGTCTCTCCGTGAGTGCACACACCCTATAGCAAAAATCTCTTTAAAAAAATTTTTTAATAATAATGATGATGAATAAAATAAAAATAATTCTTAAAAAATGCAGCATGAGCCCAAGATCCCAAGAGGAGAATGGAGGAGAAGGGATTGCGGCGTGGCCATTCCCCCTGGGGGGTGATTTCTCACTTTCTGTCTCTCTGTCTCTCTCTGTCTGGCGAGTGCACACACCCTATAGCGAAAACCTCTCAAAAAAAAAAAAAATGCAGCATGACATCTAAACAGGAAACTTCTTTTGTGTTCTTAGATTTGGGAAGTTTCTAATAATGTGCAGGTGACAACTAAGTTTATGACCAGACTTTCATACCTGAGCTTCATTTAACCCAGGTCTGGATATAGGCTTTGATTTTCATGGATACTCTAACTAGAATTGTCCTCACTGTGATGCCATCCCTATCCTCTTTGCCATCACTGGTTCTTTCTTTCTGTTAGCAGGTGGGAAACTACAGAGAAGGAGGGACTTATCCAGGCCAGCAATCTCAGAGGAAATATGTTCCTCCTTTGTAGAACCAACCCTTTTCCCACTTTTTTCAAAAACGTTCCTCATTAGGAACAGAGCTGAATATGTCTCCCTTTCAAACTTAAAACAAAAAACAGTAGAGGAAAATTAAGAATCCTGGGACCAGCAGTTAGTGTAGTGGCTATGTCACTGGACTCCCACGTAGTCAACCACGGTTTGAGTCCCAGACCCAGTGATTTAAACTCCTGCTGGGCACGTGTATGTGCGTGTCCAAGATCCCAAGAGGAGAATGGAGGAGAAGGAATTTTGCCCTAAGGCAAAAACCTCTTTAAAAAAAAAAAAAAAGAGTCAGGGACCAGCAGTTAGCGTAATGGCTATGTCGCTGGACTCCCAAGTAGTTGACCACGGTTTGAGTCCCAGACCCGGTGACTTAAACTCACGCCGGGCGCGTGTGCGTGCGTGCCCAAGATCCCAAGAGGAGAATGGAGGAGAAGGGATTGCGGCATGGCCATCCCCCCTGGGGGGTGATTTCTCGCTTTCTATCTCTCTGTCTCTCTCCATCTGTCTGGCAAGCACATGCACCCTATAGTAAAAACCTCTCCAAAAAAAAGTCAAATGACATGGAGTTCTGTTCTTCTTAAGACAATACATTCCATTAGTGGATAGTTATGTCTCTCTTCCTTTCTGGTAACACATGCACCCTAAGCCAAAAACCTCTAAAACAAAACCAAAAACAAATCCCAAGAATTAGCGATGATTTATCTAGTGTTCTATAAAGAATTTACTCTATACAACCATGTTTACTGCTACTTTTATTTTCAAGAAAGGTGAAAAAATATTTTTTAAAATGTAATCCCCATTTCTATTCTAAGCCTTGAATTTCAGCTCTAAGTGACTGCATGAATTAAGGTGCTTACTGCCTCCTGGAATAAACATATGTTAATTACAGACCAATAGACCAAAGAGAAAATCCTCCTAACTGTACTTGCCAGTCTATAGATAAAAAGAGACAGTAGCAATATCCCGGTCTCCTTTAATGTTTCATCAGCAATGCACCTTGATGTACAGATGTCAGAACTTGGCACTGCCTTTTATGTTTATTGACATTCCGCTTTAGGCATTCCACTCATCACATCAGACCATTCCCACATGGCAGGTCCAATTGTATCTTATTGCTTGTCTTTATCTGCATTGTTTCTTGGCTGGTTACCATCAATGTAGTGCTAATTTTTACTTGTTGTGCATTGGCACTAACCAGCTGATGTTCACTGCACTGACATAATTTTTGCCAACTTCTGGTGGCTTTCAGTCGATAACTGTCTGACAGCCACTCTCTAATATCGATGGGAATATTAACAGTACTCAGATGTTTCTAAATTGAATTTGGGATGACGAAGGATTCAGTAGTTATATGACAGTGTGGACAGTGGCTTAAACACCAGGTACAGACTTAGATCCTAAAGCCTTGCTAGATATTTGGATCATACCTCTTTGAATAAAAAATTGACTGATAATGTTAATTTGAATAAGTCAACTACAGGTATTTTTGAGAAAATTGAGGAAATTTAACTATAGAATGAGCATTAGTTTTGCTTTTTCTTTTTTAAGATTTTTGCCATAGGCACATGTACTCGCCGGATGCAGACAGAGGGAAACAGAGAGAGGCAGTGAAAGGAAAAGTGAGAAATCACTCCATAGGCCATGCCACTCTCCTTTCTCCTCATTCTCCTCTTGGGATTTTGGGCATGCATTCACACACACCCAGTATGTTTTTCTACCCACTGAGTCCAGGGTTTGAACCACATTGGCCACGTAGGATCCAGCCACCTTTATCACCATGCCACTAGCTGGCCCACATAAACCAGATTTTTATAATAGTACCTACATACTATGCACTCTGCAGTTGAATAACTATAGAAAAATTATCAAGCTTACTAAGTACATATGTTGTTTATAAATTATTTTAGAGCAGTTTTATCCTATAGGAAACTGATAATCAATAACTGAGAGATCAACTCTAAGGGTTACTTAAGCAGAAGTCTCATAATCTTCATTCTAGTTTCCATCCTATTGTATAAAAACTACTGATATGATTTCTCTCTCTCTTCTTTTTAATTTTGCTGGAGGATGCATGCTCTCACCAGAGACAAAGTGTGAAAGCACCTCCTGTGAGGAATGGTCACACGCCATCCTTTCTCCTCCACGTCTCCCTTTAGGAATTTGGAGCACACATGCACATGCAGCCAGCATGTTTCTTAAGCCACTCGGTTCAGACTCTAACTGCTCAGTCTGCCACATGGGATTCAGTCACCTCAACCACCATGCCACTGGCTGGCCCTGTGTGATCTTCAGCAAGTTGCTTTACCTTTCTGGATCTATTTATTCATTTACAAAAGGAAGGAGTTGAACTTGACCTCTAAAATTCAGTTTAGTTCACCTATGGTATGGTTCCATGACTCTGATCATTTTTTCCATTAGAGAAAGTACATACATTAAACTACTTTACAACAGAAATATTTTTTAAAAAGTTTCATTTTACTGTGTGTGTGTGTGTGTGTAATTTTTTTTTTATTTGCCATAGCACATGCACACAGGAGAGACACATATTGAGAAAGCAGCCCCCGAAGGAATGGCCATGTCGCAACCCCTTCTCCTCCATTCTCTTCTTGGAATTGGGGGCACATAAGCACACATGCCCCTGTCATGTTTGTCAAACCACTGTGTCCAGAACTCTAATCATGCAGTTGGCCATGTGAGGTCCAGCTGCCCTAACTGCTACACCATTGGCTGGCCCTAAATGTTGTTTTAAAGTTTATATGAGCACTTCTTTTTATGGCCTTCTGGTCCCATAGTAGTGGCAAGTGAAACTGTCCTTTAATGGGGGTCTTACTGTGACTGTTAGGCGAGTTTTGAAGAGAGAACATTTCTTTTCTATAATCAATGGATGATTTTATGTGTCTAATCCTGCGTCCATGTACTCATCCTTTTCCCCATCTCAGATCAGCTGATTATTTCCTCCTAATACCTCTGATAGCTCCGGCCCAGTCACATTCATGCCGAGAGGGACCAGCATCAGTGGCACTCATTAGGCGGCCATCAATACTAGTTTGGGTCCAGTGGGAATATTTAGGATAGCAACTGCAGTATTACAAACCATGCTGCAACGTGTGCCCTGTAATGATAACAATAATAGCTTTGCACTAGGCACAACGCTATTTTTCTATTTCTTGTTTCATTTTCTTTTCATGGCAAGTCTGGG